AGGCTTTACAAATGAATTCCATTTTGATTTTTTATTCACATAATGAATTTTTATTCAAACCAAAAAATAGAAGATTTACTGTTATGCAATACTGTAATAATTGTATAAATAATATCACCACATTTGTGAATGTATATTAGACCCACCAGCTGTCATGTATTAGACTTGTGAGGTCATTTGTTTACTCTTGAACATAGGAAAAAATTTAACATTTCTGCTACTTTGAGCTCAGTTTCAAGCCATTTCCAGTACTAAAACCAATCAAAATCATCTCTATTTCTGTAGTATATCTTCCATTCTATCAAATGAGACCAAGAAATTGCAAATACAACTATAAAAAGCATACAAAAAAACACTGCAAATTCACTGTTTTAATCGAAAATTACGGTGTCAGTTTTTTTTCTCTCATTATGCACTGTGTACTGCAGGATTTGTTTTATGTGGTGCACACATACCACATAGATGTATTCTCTCATATCTAGGCCCAGATTTACTGCTCACAGCTTATCAGAGTGAGCTGAGCTCATGGCATAGATCTACGGTTTGGACCCTAAACATAAAGCCGTAGATCTACGGCACGGACCCTGAAAGGGTTATGACAAAAGATTTCTCATTCATTAACACAGACCTGACATTGGCGGGGAAAAAAAAGATGAGGTTCATTGCAATTGAGACAATTGGGGGAAAGACTGCTAGATGCATTTATCGAGGTGTCCAAAGTGCCAGCAATTTCGACACTGTTGGAGAGTAGGGACCACTTTATGGGCCTCTAGGCAATGGCCCATGATATAAACAGAGGACGGGAGTTCACTGCAGTCAAAGGTTAAGTGAGCGATGTTACTAGGAAAGCACCTCCACCCTCAAACAGGCAGGATATATCTATCCATTTCGAGAATTGGTAGGTCCTGAATGGCTAATTGCTCCAAGACAGAAAATCACACTGTACAATGGTACGTGGTAAAACCACTGCAAGAATTGAGAGTAGTGTACTTGTGTACTGTGATAGGAATGTTATCAGTGGAAGTAAGATCATGAACTTGTTCTGCATTCTGAACTGTAGCAATGTGCGCACCGCTTCGAAGAGAGTGAGAGGATATATTTTGGCCAACGTGTCATAAAAGAGCTTTACCAATACTATGGTCTGAAAGATAATCAGTTGGAGATATCGGTTGTAGGGAAAAGAATTCAGTCTACTGCATACTTGTAAAAATGGTGCATAAAGAAAGTGGGTAACGCGTAGGTCATTTTCTGGGTGGAATGAGCAGACTTCAAAGAACCGTCATCAGCAGATGGTCTGGAACGTTTAGGCGTAATTCCGCGGGCGGCCCGACCTGAGGTAGGTGGGCAATCCGAAAACTGTTGCCCCATATTCGGGGAAGCTGGACGCATAGTTAAAGGCATGCAAGAGGCAGAGGCACTAGAAGAAATGGGTGAAGCCTGAGCACCTGGAGGAGGTGACAAAGTATCACCAGCAGAAGGTAGAGGGGTATGGGAAGAGGTCTGGAGAATGGTTCAGTAACGAAGCAGGGTCAGAACAGAATGCGGTAACAAAAAGTGGCATGGGAGGAGGAGGGTTATCGCAGAACAAAGACTCCACGATGATAGTACTTCTTTCTTATTATTTTAAAAGAAAAAAAAAGAAGGAAAGAAAAAAAAAAGAGACTAGTAAGTAAGTTTATTCAGGTATACACAAATACAGTTGCAGTAGACTGTCGTTTAACCCTTTGACTGTCGAAAGGCCCAATCCTGAAGTTCTCCTGGTGTCGCAAAATATTTGAAAAAAAAAATTATTTTTTCTTATGAAAATGTTAAGATTATTTTTCTGATTTTTTTTAGTCCAAAAAAAAAAATTCCCATCAGTACTTACCCAGATATAGAGGCATGAAGTTTGCAGTAAATGAGCCACGTATGGCAACAGCGGTTGCCATACTTTGGTTTACTTGTATTTGAAGGTTTGTTGTTTTTTTTTCACTTTTATTTTTTCACATAACTTATGTGGCCTGTGAGACCAAAGTAAGGTGCAATGTACATATATACACTCGTTGTATACAACACAATAAGCACACAAACATAATTATCAATATATTGTTTACAAAACCAAACAATACAAAAAAATTGTTTATTGCTATTGTTCTATAATATATACTATACCAATATACAGTCACTGGACATATTCCTAGAAGTTCTGCAGCTTGTGTAACTCTTTGAACATGGTGTCATACACAATGGTGTTTTACATTCCTCACACATAAAACCAGTGTGTGGTGCATTTTTGTGGAAGCTTTTTTTTTATGTGCAAAGACAAAACACCTCGTCTGAGCAGTTTTCTTCAAAGTATTAGCAGGCAGTTGTGGTTATGTAGTTATCCTAGGTAAATGGTTGTGTCATCATTCCTTCCTGCATTCCTTTCCTGCATTCCTTTTCTACCCTTTCCTTCCTACATTCCTTCATCTTTCATTACTTTTTTCCTTCCCTTTTATCTCATCCTTCCTTCATTCCTGCCTTCCATTCTTCCTTCTGGTTTCTGTAATATATATACACATATATAGTCACTACATACTTTCATATAACTGCTATTATCTTCATTCATCAAGCTTTTCTTGTGTGCAAGTGTGTGGCTTATAATTGTTTTGAGTCAGGAGTCGGCAGCTGTCAAAATGACACATTGTTCTATTACTCACTCCCCTACCGCCTGTCAAAACAATGGGGTCGGATGCTGCTTCCGCTCCATTCTATCTAATTATCTTTCTCCCTCATTTTATCTCTTTCAATCTGTCTGTCTTTCTCTCTGACTGTCTATCTCTGTCTCACAGGTACTCATAAATACAAGTATACATAGTGTAAATTACCTAGGATAACCCCAAAAATCCAGACAAAGTGCTATACTCTGCTTGAAGATGTAAGTAAACGTGATGATGACACAGTCTTGTGGCTCTCTCTGAGACAGAGAGCTAGACGGATAGACAGGGAGCTTGGCGGACAGAAATGTTTGTGTACCCGCAAAAACAAAGCAGGGTGATGGTCATCTAATCTTTTCTTATCAGCTGCACCCTCCCCCACCCTCATTTATGCTCATCAAACGTCAGCTCTTATCAGATGTTATCTCCCCTTATCTTGTCACTGTCATGGGTGAACTGTTTTTCATGCTTCAAGGGAACATATTATTACGTATTCTTCTTCTTCTTCCTCCTCCTCTTCTTTCTCTTCTTCTTCCTCTTCTTCCTCCTCTTCTTCCTCCTCTTCTTCCTCCTCTTCTTCCTCCTCTTCTTCCTCCTCTTCTTCCTCCTCTTCTTCCTCCTCCTCCTCTTCTTCCTCCTCCTCCTCCTCCATTGCTTTTGGTCTCAAACTCCTCGAAATCATGAAATTGATCTTCATTGACACTTCCATCTGTGTTAGAGCATCGCTTGGGAAGAGAAGAGTCCCAGATTTGCTGGGGAGTCACATATTTCTTACCGCTAGACATGCTGAAAAAGGACGACTGAAATGGCATTCCCACAATGCACCACTGGCTCCCCGATTTTTTTTTATATGGTGCACACTGACCATGGAAACCCATTCTCTCACATGTGGGCCTACCAGCTTTCTCCTGCTTGATTTGAAGCCGCTAGAATTTATGTGTATAGATACATCAAACACGGTATCTCCTATGACGTATATATACGACCGCGACAGTCAAGGGGTTAATACAGTAGTTACGTTCCTGAAAATGCCGTATTAGGCAAAACCATGTTAGACAAACTAAAGAACTTATGGGGAAAATAGGGTTATGTTCCTGGGAGCCCCCAAAAAGTCAAACAACTTTTTTTTTAGACCAACAGATCCTACAAAAATAAAAGTGAATATGTAATTGTAGTTCATTGTCGTGATGTATTATGTTGTTTTTATTGCATAAGATTACAAATGCAACAGAAATAATAGTATTTCTTACCCTATATTGTGGGTGCTGTTGTTTGTGGATGATTGTGGAGGGTGGAGACTTATGTTGTGACCCTACTGGGCTGATGTGGATGGTAGAGGTACTGGTGCTAAAGTCGATGGTTGTACTGGAGTGTGCATATGTTCTGTAAGGGATTTCTGTTCTATTTTACCCTACAGTACATTATACAATTGAGAGTAAAGCATCAGCTGCTCTAGACACCATTTCAGGGTCCTCTTCAGTGAAAAAGTCGAACTTTAAGTCATTCAGTAAGTCAGTCAAGTCAGTCAGTAAGTCATTCAGTCAGTCAAGTCATTCAATCAATCAGGTCATTCAGTCAGTCAGGTCATTCAGTCAGTCAGGTCATTCAGTCAAGTCATTCAGTCAGGTCATCACATAAACTCATATTTACCTCATTCTTTTTGTGTACAAAATGACTACATAGATTATCATACATAGCAGCATATGTGTAGAGAACCTAGGATAACCCAAAAAAGTCAAAGTGAGTTATTTCCATTGGGGTCCACAGAGGGGCAGTCACTAGAAGGCATGAAAGGGCTGTAAGTTTCCCCTCTCATTCAAGAGAACCTCAAGACTGTGAGCAGTGCAGATGCAGCGTGGACCCCATGCCATACCCTACCCTTCATGCTAGTAAACCAGCACTCCAGAATAGCAACCTCACATCTACTGAGCCACCTCGGTGGACAAAAGAGAGGGCGGTCAGAAACCTACCACAAAGCATACCTCCTTTGGCTGCCACCTCCCAGAACCAAGAGGCAGCTTCTGGAGATACACCCGTCACCTGCAGGACACCTCACCCACCTCTCAGAAATCTGGGAAGGGACCAGGATGCTTCCAGATAATCCAGATTCCATGGAAAACTACACCACACCCGAGGACCCTCACGGAGTGGGATGAACCCTGGCACACTTCCCCCTACCTAGAAACTGTAATGCCAGAGGGGACAACCCCAGAGGCTACAAACGGAATGGGGAAAGGGGAGGGTTGGGAAGGGGGAAGGAAAGGGAAAAAAGGGGGGATGGGGAGGATGGGATAAGGAAGGGAGGATTGGGGGGTAATTAGGTTCGGTCTGAGGAAGAAGACCAAAGGGTCTAATTTCTTAGACCAAGAGCCTCTTCACCACATCAAGGAGCCCTAGAAGAGGTCTTGTTTTTTTATTTACATAATTTCTATGTTTCCATTACTTTGCTGTTTGTCATTTCCATTTCTTAGTTTATTTAATATTCATTACACACTAAAACATATCTTCAACAGGCACTGACAACTACAGAACTGGAATTAAAGGATGTTATTGCTCCATTTAGTCAAGATCATTCTTCTCCATTAGGTGCACCTACTACTGTCCCAATTCAGGGACGGGGAAAGCAGCATCTTCACCAGTTAGATTTGTTTAATTTTACTCCAGAATTAAGGTGAGTATCACAAAATATAATTTAAGAGGAATAAATATAAATATTCTTTAGGAGAAAACAAGCAGTACTGTATACAGCATTCTTCTCACCATTAATTATAATCCATTTGATTATCTTAGTTTGACTGTGCATTTCTTTTTGTTTTGCTCTGCTTTGTGTCTGGATGATATTGTAATAACTCGTTTGACTGTGCATTTCTTTTTGTTTTGCTCTGCTTTGTGTCTGGATGATATTGTAACAACTCGTTACATAGAAACTTAACACTGTGTACAGTAGGGTCCCGCTTTACGGCGTTTCATTTTACAGCGTTCCGCTAATACGGTCATTTCAAATTATGACCAAAACTCGCTATATGGCTCCCCCCACCTGACTTTCTAATACGGTCACCGCGCCCCACCTGGTTTGTTTACATTCTCTGTGAGATCCGTAAGCATTAAGTCTCCATTTTGTCTGGAAACTCCAAAATTTCAAGTGTTTTTAAAAGTTATTTCATATTTTATATATACTCTGATAATTATACTTATGTATACCTGTACCTAAATAAACTTACATACTGTGCTGGCATGCAGGTACACATTAAAATCAGTAAGTGTGTCTCATGTCTCCAGACGTCATATTAGTAATGATAATAATAATCATCGAGTCTCATTTAAATGTCGTATATTACGTTAATATACACATTTTCATTAATCCATCTATGATATTTTTTCAAAATTATATAATAAACACGATGCATAACATATAAATATGATAAATACACCCCACAGTTGAATAAATAAACATAAACGTGAGATGTGGTAGCAGACGACTTGCACAAGTGACGCCATATTAGAAATAATAATAATAATAATCACCGAGTCTCATTAAATGTCGTATATTACGTTAATATACACATTTTCATTAATCCATCCATGATATTTTTTTCAAAATTATATAATAAACACGATACATAACCTAATAAGATGATAAATACACCCCACAATAGAATAAATAAATATAAATATGAGATGTGCTAGCCAGATAACTTGTACAAGTGATGCCAAGAATAACATTTTCTCTAATCTAACATAAGAGAAAATGTGTTACTGGGGGTAACTGTAGAAAATTATTCCTTTCGTATGTATGTAAGTTTATTCAGGTATACACAAATAGTTACATAGATTATCATACATAACAGCATATGTGTAGAGAACCTAGGATAACCCAAAAAAGTCAGAGTAACTTATTTCCATTGCCTTCACTCAGAGCGTCATTTCTTCTCAAAATGATGTTACATGAGACTGGGAGTGTTCTTCTTTATTTATTCTACTGTATCAATGTAGAGACAACTTGTACACAATGTAACTTGTACACAAACCAGATGTGTACAATTTTTTTGTTTACAAAACTTACCTTCGCCTGGTTTGTTTACATAACTCTGCGCCTGTCCCCTCTCATGCACTCATTCTTTCTCTCTCTCATTTATTCGTTTTATCTCATTTACTTACTCCTGACCCTACATTAAGACTACAAATATTTTAAGGTAAGTAATGAGTGAACTGTATTTACATTTTATCGCTCTGGGATGTGTGGGTGGGTTGACCTGGTATGGTAGCCCGGCTGACTACCATACTTACCACACTTGATTTCTTACAATAAATACTACTCGTCTCACCCTAGATTAAGACTACAAATATTTTAAGGTAAGTAATGAGTAAACTGTATATGCATTTTATCGCTCTTGGATGCTTAAATGTAATAGAATATTGTGGCCTGGTATGGTAGCCTGGCTGACTACTATACATACCACACTTGATTTCTTACAATAAATACTACTTGTCTCACCCTAGATTAAGACTATAAATATTTTAAGGTAAGTAATGAGTGCACTATGTGTGTATTGTACTTTTTTATTGTTTTTTGATGCCTGGTTCCATTGCTAACTTAATATATGTTAGTGTAAACTTGTTATCTAGTGTTTGTATGCATTTATAAGTGGAAAAAAAAGTGTTCCACTTTATGGCGGTTTCCGCTTTACGGCGGTAGCCTGGAACCTAACCTGCCGTATAAGTGGGGCCCTACTGTATCTAAGAAAAAATACACAATTTGTAGAGGAACTTTGTTCAGACTTTCTTGTGGGACAGGCTTCACTCAGTACATAGGGGTGGGGAATAGTTTCTCAAAAAAAACATAGGCTTATAATTGATAAATCATACCATGGGCAGGATAGAACCCACGGTCAGAGTCTCATAAAACTCCAGACCGACGCATTAGCCACTGGGCCAGCTGGCTACAATAAATTTCATCCAGCTAGGTATATTTATACACCATAGGAAGGTTAGCATAGGCACCACTGTGGCCACTTATAATTGATGTGAATTTTTATTATGACATTTTCCCCAAAACTGGACTTTATCAAGTACCATACAGAAACAAAGGTATGTGGTCTTATAAGGCCAATAAGCAGCCTGAGGTTATGAGGAAACAATATGCATATTGCAGATACCAATGAGCAGGGGGTTGGAGGAGGTATGGATTGAGGCCCATGTGAAATATTTTTATTATATGAACCATGTACAACCTAGGTAGTAGGTTGGTAAACAGCAACCACCCAGGGAGATACTACCCTCCTCCCAAGTGAGTGTGAAATGGAAATCTGTAATTATTTTATGTGATGGTAGGATTGCTGGTGTCTTTTTTTTTTTTCTGTCATAAACATGTGGGACACCAGGTATATCTTGCTACTTTTATTTACACTTAAGTCATACTGTACTTCCATGTACATGCATATAGATACATACCTATCTGAGTTTTCTTCTGATTTCTTAATAGTTCTTGTTCTTTATTTCCTCTTATCTCCATGGGTAATGGAAAAGAATATTCCTCTGTAAGTCATGCGTGTCATAAGAGGCAACTAAAATGCTGTGAGCAAGAGGCTAGTAACACCTCCTATATAAATTACTAAATTTAAAAAGAAAAACTTTCATTTTTCTTTTTAGTCACCCTGCCTTGGTGGGATACAGCCAGTGTGTTGAACAAAAAAACCCATGTACAGCATTCACAGTAGAATCTGCTAATGTTTACATATATTTTTTATAATGTCATAAATGTATAACTTTTGCTTCCAGAAGCATCCAGTTTCAGCCTCCTGATATAATTGTTGTCCTGCTCTATACTCCATGATGTGCGAGTGTAAATGGCAGTGAACAACACACGTATTGATCTTGTGAGTTGCAAGTGAGTTTGAAGGTCACACCCTGTTTCACCAATGTATACCTTACTACATACAGGTCCACATTCCTTTATCCAAAATTCTGAAATTCGAAAAGTTTCAAAAACCAAAATTTTTTCGTGGAGTGTGAAACACCAGTCACTGACAGCCAGAGTGGCAGGTGTCAGTTGTCTCAGCACATGTAGTGTTCACACGTGCATCTGCTTTTCGCTGATACAGTGGAACCTAGGCTTACGAACACCCCCACCATGCAAAATTTTCAGGATACGAACCATCATTCAGTCGATTTTTTGCTTCTGGATACGAACAAAGCTTCAGGATACGTATTTCCTCCTCGAGGGAGGTTCCTTAAAGAAATAAATAAGCAAAATATTTATTTCTTTGCAAAGGTTACAGTGTGTGTTTACATATAATATGATTGGAGCACAGAAAGCCACTATCATGCCAAGGCATTTTGGGCAGACTTAACCTAATACCTATAGGTTACTTAAGTCTAGACAGGTGAAAAGTAGTGGTTATCAATGTTTTGCTGATGGTGCTGCCAACTACTGGCAGCCTTTTGAAGTTTCTCCTTACTGTTATTATTATTATTACTATTGTATTATTATTATTGTTATAATTATTATTATTATTAGTATGTACATGGTGAGGAGCTCTTGATCTAGGGGATTGGATTTGTGTTCCAGTTCTCTAAATTAAGCCTGAATACCTTCCATCCCCTTACCCCCACAAGCTCTTCCCCATTATGATAATAATATAATATGTAATATAATAATAATACATATAATAATAATATAAAAATGTACTTTAATAATATAATTATAATAATAGACGGCTTCGAAAGGCCATCACTAGATGGCAGTGAATACCACAACAATGCGGGAGTGGTTATGGCCGCCTCCACTTGTCACATAATGACATATTCTATTCATTCTAGAGAATATATCAAGTTTCTGTGTTATTTATATTGTTTATTATGTCATATTAGATCAGTGGTGATAGATAAATAAGCCGTAGAGTTGATATTAGCGTTATATTGAAGTGTATTTTTCCTGCCTCTGAGAGCAGGAATCCCACCGAAACAGATTAATGCCTTTCAATTAATTTAAATGAGGAAAATTGACTCGGCATACAAACAAATCAGGATATGAACACGGTCACGGAACGAATTAAGTTCGTAAGCCGAGGTTCCACTTTATTTTGTTTTTGCTTTTTTATTTTGTGACTGTTTAATTTCACTGTGAAAATGTCAAAAAGAGCTGTAGATACCCCTATGGGTAACAGTGAGAAAAAGAAGAGGAAGCATCTGATGTTATCAATAACACACAGAGTAGAGTTACTGCAGAAGCTTGATTGTGGTGTGTCAGTGCAGCGTCTTACTGAAGAATATGGTGTTGGAACTACCACTGTTTATGATTTAAAGAAATGGTGTTAAATGCAAATAAGCATGAGAATAGTAGTGATAATGATGATGACACTGTGAACACAGGTGAAAAAGTGTGATCAGTTAAGTCTTTAAAAATGCCATCTGTTATAGTGCTGTTTCATCACTTGAGAATCATGTTCCTGATCTATAATTATCTCATTACAGTGGACCCCCGCATAGCGACTTTAATCCATGCAAGAGGGCTGATTGTTACGCGAAATGATCGGTATGCGAATGAATTTTCCCCATAAGAAATAATGGAAATCAAATTAATCCGTGCAAGACACCCAAAAGTATGAAAAAAAAATTTTACTACATGAATATACATTTTCCTACACACAAAGAGAAGGATACATGCACAATAGTAGAGTAGTACATGCACAATATATATTGTGCATGTACTACTCTACTAAATGAAGAATAAATGACACTTACCTTTATTGAAGATGCAGCAATGGATGATGAGACAGTGTGTCTTGGGAGTGCCTTTTCCTCCTGAGTACTGTAGGTCCTGTTTGGCATTTTCTTCCAGAACAGGCCTTATCACACTGTGTATGCCACTACGATTCTTAAATCTCTCAAACCAACCTTTGCTGGCTTTAAATTCACCAATATGAGCACTAGTTCCAGGCATTTTTCCCTGTTCACCTGGGTGTTAGTCGACTGGTGTGGGTTGCATCCTGGGAGACAAGATTAAGGACCCCAATGGAAATAAGTTAGACAGTCTTCGATGACACTGACTTTTTTGGGTTATCCTGGATGGAAAATCCTCTGGGGTTAATTGTTTCTTGGTATTCTCAATAAGCCACACCAACAATGGTGCTACAGCAGCAGCTGACAGTGCTACAGCAGCAGCAGACGATGCTACAGCAGCAGCAGACGGTACTACAGCAGCAGCAGCTGATGGTGGTACAACAGCAGCAGCAGCTGACAGTGCTACAGCAGCAGCAGACGATGCTACAGCAGCAGCAGACGATGCTACACCAGCAGCAGACGGTACTACAGCAGCAGCAGCAGCTGACGGTGGTACAACAGCAGCAGCAGCTGACAGTGCTACAGCAGCAGCAGCAGCTGACAGTGGTACAGCAGCAGCAGCAGCTGACGGTGCTACAGCAGCAGCAGCAGCTGACAGTGCAGCAGCAGCAGCAGCAGCTGTACCACCAATAGTAGCGATGGTTGATTGGGGTTTATTATACAACCTGGCCAGCTCGGAGACACGCACTCCACTTTCATACTTATCAATGATCTTTTTCTTCATCTCTATAGTAATTTTCACCCTTATTGCTGTAGGGTTGGCACTAGAAGCTTTCTTGGGGCCCATGGTCACTTATTTTGCAGATAAAATCACCAAAAACACTGTAATAATACAAAATGTTCCGATTGTATGCTTGGATGTTACCGCGGAGGCTGGCTGGTAAACAATGCCACCGGTGGCACATGTGAGGCTGGCTAAGGGAGCACATTGGACGCGTCTCGGATGAAGAGCGGTGAGCGGGTTTTTGGGCGGTATGTGAGGCAAAATTTTTGCGATAAAAGCGAGCGGTATGCGGATTGAACGGTATGCGATGCGTACGGTATGCGGGGGTCCACTGTATTTCATTCATCAATATATTACTCTATAAATAAAATGTAGTAATATTTGTAGTCTTTATTTATCTCGCTTAATGTGAGTATTCATACGTTTTTTGCTGCAGAGTTAATGTTTGATTATGGGATGCTGCCCTAGACCCCACTTTCATTCTGAAATTCGAAACACTACTGGCCCCAAGGGTTTTGGATAAAGGAGTGTGTATCTGTACTCCACACCATATGTAAACCCCTTTAGCAGTAATATAGTTTGGTGTGTGAGGTCTAGTGACATCTCTTATGGTTTTTGCTAGCTATGACAACAATGTCCATGTATTTTTCTTTGGAAGGTAACAGTGATAGTGGAAGGAACCAGTCCTGTGGGGAGGATAAGATGACAATCAGTGTTAGTTTCAGTGGGAGTAGTGTGGAGGAGTAAGAGCAGCTGAATGGGAACTTGGGGACACAAAAAGCATCCTTGATGTGTTTTTGTTCAAGAAGAACTTCATTACAAATCCAGAGGGTGTGGAGGAATTGCGGGTTTCTTCCTCTGCCCCCTCAGGATTTGTTTAGTTTTGGGGTCTTGGTGGGAAAAATAATAGTGTAAAGCCATTTTTATTGGATTTTCTTTAAACTCTGTATTTGTCTCTTCCTTGATGAAGAGGATGTTAAGAAAGGGTAACCAGTCATCCTTTTCTTCCAGCATGATAAACTGAATAGTGGATTCTACTAAGTGTAGCTTGTGCTTAAAATCTGGTGAAGGTTAAAGTGTCTAGGGACAGTGACTAAGACATCAGCATAGCCATGTGATGTTCTTGAAGTGCTCTTTTTTTAGATCTTTGAGGGAGTGTTTAGTAAACATCCCATGCATCACATGGCTATGTCAACGATGTCTTGATCATTGTGTCTAGACAATTTAATCTTCAATTTAAGGATACATTTAACTCAGCAGACCTCACCATTGTTTACCTGAGGAAGAAAAGGATGATTTGTTAACACTTTCCCTCAGAATGGAAGGGAACATTCACAAACAGGGTTTACAGAAAATCCCCAAATGAAAATGACGAGGAGTAAATGCAGTCATCATCTCTTTCTCCACACCCTCAGGCTTTGTAATGAATTTCTTGAAGGAACAAAAAACACCAACGACACTTCACCACTCTTAAATCCCATTACAATTCACCTCTTTCAGAAGAAAAGCCTTGTTCATCCACACCACTCTCAGGAAACAGCAATATTCATGTTGCCCAAAGGCAACATGGATATTGCTATCATTACCAACAAAATCACAAAAGATCTCACAAAGAGTACCACTGTGGTAGGGGTTCACAGCATGTGCATGAAGGATTTAGTAAGGTGTATATCTGTGAGATAGGGCATGACCTTCAGACTCACCTTCAAGAACACAAATATGCTTACAGGATAGACAAAATCAGCAATGCATGCATCTTTCACAGCAGTTTACATGTGCACACCATGGACTATGGACTATCTGACTCTACTGAACAAACCCATAGAATGTACACTCTTGCAGGTCCTATTGTGCATACTGTACATGATTTATGCAATAACAATATTGTACGTATTTCATATGAACTTACACCCGTGCCTCCCTCAACCCTCTGCTCATCAGCATTTAAAATATGCATATTGTTTATGTCTACTCAAGATCTTGCTTGTCACTTCTACTGAGCTTGACATCAGAGTGCTTGTTTGCCTTGTAAGGCCATGTATCTGTGTGTTTTTGTATACCTGATAGTCCAGTCATGGACAAAACATTGTATTGAGGGTTTCACTGCTGTTTTTCTCATTGCTTGTTGGCTTAAGCCATGGTTTATTCAAATCCTTTGCCAAGGCTATGACTCTGTGTACATAGAATTTGCTATCCTGTCTTCCCTAACAAGAAATGTGAACCACAAAAGATTTGAAATACAGGCAGGAGAGTTCTGCTCTGTCCCAACATCTAAACAATATCACCAACAGGATAAATTGGACAGTTGAAATATATATCACCCACCACCATCCCACAAGAGAAGCTGCCTTTAATGAAACCAAACCCAATTTCGGCACTTCAAAATAAATGGAGGGTTACTGCAATATAAATATTAGTTCATTAGTACTTGCCTGTAATTGTCATATTTTCTTACAGTGTCCAGGAAACTACAGTAACAGAGGGAAATTCAAAGACCAATGATGATCTTAAGAATAGCAGCCATCTTCAGACAGCAAATGCACAGCTCTTCAAGTTTGCTCTCAGGCACATTATTGAAGAGAAATTTTAAGAGCAAGGCCAACTAATTGTTACTGTTTTGCTTATTAAATTAATTTTAATAAGTGATTGTTTTTTTATACAAAAAGCATCTATACTTTGAATAAAAGGATAAGACCAGGATAATATTGCACATAACTACTCATTCACCATAATTTTTTAAAACATTCCATGCACTTGAGGGATTCTAGAGGAATGGCACAGTGTCAGCATATGAGTAAGACTGCAAAGGACTCTTATTGATACATTTCACCACAAACTATCAAATACAAAATGCAACCAAAAAAATTGCATTTTATGTAATACATTCAGGCAGGGTTGTCATGTGCTTAGTGGGCAAGGCTGGGAAGACAGGTGTTGAGTGGATGTTCCAAGAATTATTATAATCAAAGCGCTAAACCAACAAGGGTCATGCAGCACTGTGGGGCAGAAAATAGTGCCAGGGCTATAAACAGCTAGGTGGAGAGGGGATCAGAGGTGAGGGGAGAAAAGGACTGGAAGGGATGCTAGGGGTTGTGTGTCAAAGTTCATATAGTAAAGAAGTTGCTGACAAAGTCAAAAAGTGATCATAAGTTAAAGGCAGGGCTGTCTGCAAGAAGGGAAGAGAAGGTAAGAATGGTAGGGCAGCGGCATCGGTAGAGATAAATCCTGCAAGCTCACTGGTAAAGCACAGTCCACAAGTGAAGAACCAAAATAGGGACCTGACATACCTCCGAGAGGAATAGGGTGACGTTCCATGAGATACCCATGGGTATGGCGAGTATGGCCAGTGCAGAGACAGGAGAAAGTCTTCCCAAGTACGGCAATGGTGGCAAGATGCCTACAAACTTAAAAATAGTTTAATAGAGTGCAATTTGTTATGGTCCATGTTCGACCACCATTGTTGCCAATGGCCGCGAAGATGGGCAGAGAGGACTGTAAAATAATCCCTGAATGGAATACCTCTATAGGACACCAGAAGATCGCATACAGCTGACTGTGCAGCAGCATCCGCCTGTTCATACCCTTGCACATCAACATGTCCAGGGACCCAACAGAGAATGACATCTTTGTTTTTGCTAGCCACACAGCGCAACCAAAGTTGAATACAAAGAACCAGTGGACGAGGGGAATCAAATTGTTTAACGGCCTGTAAAGTGCTGAAGGAATCACAAATGATCACAAATGCCAAAGGAGACATGTAATACAGAGAAGCGCTATGAGGATGACATACAACTTGGCGGTAAAAATACTAGCCAAGTCTAACAAATGACCCCAGACAGCATCATCAGGGAGCACCGCCACGAACCCAACACCGACAGGCAGCCTCTGGAGATGCACCAGTCACCTGCAGGACACCCCGCCCCACCTCCTGGAAATCCAGGAAGGGAGCAGGCCACCTCCAGATGATCAAGATTCCATGGCAAATTACACTCACTCCCGAGGAACCCCACAAAATGGGATGAACCCCAGCACCCCCCCCACCTAGAAACCATAATGCCAAAGGGGAGGACCCCAGAGGCTACAAACGGGATGGGGAAAAGGGAAGGATAGGGGGAATGGGGAGGATGGGATAGGGAAGGGGGGATTGGGGGTAATTAGGTTCGGTCAAACGAAGGAGACCGAAAAGTCTAATTCCTCAGACCAAGAGCCTCTTCACCGCACCAAGGAGCCCCCTTGAAGAGGATGTTCCAAGAAGCTTGGGGGCACTGCAGCAGGCCAGGTTTGTTCCTTTGTTCTAATACAATATGTACTATCAGTATACACAAACTAAAATACCATTATTTTGTGCTAGCGAGTTTAATGGAAGAGAATTCAACACATCTGTGTTTGATCCTGCCATTTTTGTAAAAAGTATGGTAGCCCTATCCCACAAAATGAGACAGGAGTGGGTGACAGGCTGCTGGACACAATTTTTAAGTTGTCGACACTATGGCACATTGTCATGCAAGTATGTTTGGAAACTTCTGGCAGTTTCCCCAATGTAGAATTGATCACACCATCCACATGATGTCCTGTAAACTTGTCTCTCTCAGTTCTGTTAGGGGAGTCTGTGTAAAATCCTGATGGTCTTAGTGGTAACTCTTGCTATGGGTATGTTGGGTTTTTAAGGGGGAGGAAACTGAGTTGGTGGTGGTCAAGATGTATGTACATTTTTTGACTGGGTAATGGCTTTGTGCACTCAATAGAGCAGCTACCTAGGAAGACATAAAATGTACGTACATCATACCCACCGGGACCACTGCCATCACAGTTTCCTCCATCCAATGTATACATGGCAAGTCATTAAGACAATCAGGGATGTTACAAAGACTACCACAACTAACATGGATCCAACAACACCAGAGTGTAAACTCTGGTGTTGTTGGATCCATGTTAGTTGGATCCATGCAGGGGTCTCCAACCTTTTTCACTACGTATGCCACATCATATATTTTACACATTTTTTGAGGGCCCAAGAGAAAAAATCAGTCTAATAAATAAATATAAATGAATGAATAAAATTTAAATGAATGAATAAGTGACTTACAATGAGGGTTCATTAGTTTTACTATTTATAAATATTTGAAGTTGCTGCGCATGACAAGTGGCCCGGGGGCCGCAGTTTGCCAACCCCTGGTTTACAATATACCATGTGGAGGGTGTAATAAAGTCTACATCTGGGAAACTATCAGAATATACACATGTAAGGATGACAACTTAATGTTTGTGTCCAGCAGCCTTACAGCCACTTCCATCTTATTTTGTGGGAGAGGGCAACCCTATTATTTTATGAAAATGACAAGGGAGGTACTGCCAAGTGAGTGTAAAACAGAAACCTGTACGTAATTGTTTTACACGATGGTAGGATTGCTGGTGTCTTTTTTCTGTCTCATAAACATGCAAGATTTCAGGTACATCTTGCTACTACTACATACACTTAGGTCACACTGCACGTGCATGTACACTGTACAAGCATATATATACACACCCCTTTGGGTTTCCTTCTATTTTCTTGCTAGTTGTTCTTGTTTATTTCCTCTTATCTCCATGAGGAAGTGGAACAAAATTCTTCCTCCGTGTCATGCGTGTCGTAAGAGGCGACTGAAATGCTGGGAGCAAGGGAACTAGTAACCCCCTTCTGTATACATTACAGCCTCTCCTCACATAGCTACATACTCGTTTACAGATGCCTCGGACTTACGACGGACTCTCTGACCAGTATTCGTACCTAAATAATGTACAGGTACCATCCGACTTATGACCGAGCTTGGTTCCGACCAACTGGTTGCAAGTCAAAATGGACGTAAGTCGAACCTTTGAAAATTGCCGACATACTGGGTAGGGCATAATGTCAAACCTTTGCTATATAAATACCGTACCTACATAGTACTGTAATGTAATGTACACTCATTATTTTATTCTTTTTACCATAATTTACTTCTATTGATATATTTTAATCATTTATGTACTGTATATTATGTCATGTCTGAGGGCAATGTGTGGTGTGAATATAATGCAGAGAATTCGTAGTTTGGAAGTTAGGAGGAGGTGCGGGATTGCCAAAATTGTTGTCCAGAGGGCTGAGGAAGGGTTGTTGAGGTGGTTCGGACATGTAGAGAGAATGGAGCGAAACAGAGTGACTTCAAGAGTTGTATCAGTCTGTAGCGGAAGGAAGGCAGGGTAGGGGTCGGCCTAGGAAAGGTTGAAGGGGGGGGTAAAGGAGGTTTTGTGTGTGAGGAGCTTGGACTTAGTGGGCATGCGTGAGCGTGTTTGATAGGAGTGAATGGAGACAAATGGTTTTTAATAATTGACGTGCTGTTGGAGTGTGAGCAAAGTAACATTTATGAAGGGATTCAGGGAAACCGGCAGGCTGGACTTGAGTCCTGGAGATGGGAAGTACAGTGCCTGCACTCTGAAGGAGGGGTGTTAATGTTGCAGTTTAAAAACTGTAGTGTAAAACACCCTTCTGGCAAGACAGTGATGGAGTGAATGATGGTGAAAGTTTTTCTTTTTTGGGCCACCCTGCCTTGGTGGGAATCGGCCAGTGTGTTAATAATAATAATAATAATAATAAAATGTACACAAGGCAGTGAACTGTATTGTAAATTTTACATCTCACACAGTATCGTATGTTACTGTTATCTTTAACCCTTGGACTGTTTCGGTCGTATACATACGTCTTACGCGCCACTGTTTCTGACATATTTATACACGTAAATTCTAGCGGCTTCAAATCAAGCAGAAGAAAGCTGGTAGGCCCACATGTGAGAGAATGGGTCTGTGTGGTCAGTGTGCACCACATAAAAAAAATCCTGCAGCATGTAGTGCGTAATGAGAAAAAAAAAAACTGACCATTTTTTTTGGATTAAAACCCCAACTTTGAAAAAAGAGGTGTATTTTTGTATAGTATTTGTCGTTGTATTCTCGTTTTTATGGTCTCATGTGATAAAATGAAAAACATTACAGAAATGGAGATTATTTTGATTACTTTCACGATGAAAAAACCTTGAAATTGAGCTCAAAGTAGCGGAAATGTTCGATTTTTACCAATGTTCAGGAGTAAGCAAATCACACCACACGTCCAATACACTTCAACTGGGGAGTCTAATATTCTTTCACTAGGGCACTTATATTATTTATACCATTTTTACAATAATGTGTTAGTCTGCATAACAGAAAATTTTATTTTTTTGTATGAATAAAAAATTAAATAGAAAGCAATAGTAATATAAGAATGGCCTAGAGACATGACTAATGAACAGAGGATATGTTATTTTAGTGCCAAGAATGTCTACATTGTTTATTCTGGACCCTATTTTGAAACTGGCATCTTTTTTAATTTGCGTGAAATTGGCCAAATTGCCAATTCCTGACCACTTTATTGGGTAGTTCAAGTCAGTAAATGGGCGGCTTCTTGTATTCAACTGATAGAAAAAATGGAGTTCTAAGGAAATAGCTATGAGTTTCGTCAACTGGAACAACGGAATTGGCCCAAAAATGGCTCAAAGTCGGCGAAATCGCCGATGAGTATATGTCACCGAGACCGCTAACTTCGCGGGAGCGTAATTCCATGAGTTTTTGACCAAATTTCGTACTTTTGGTG